GGGGGGGGGGATGACAGAAGATCCGCCCTTCCCAGGGAGCTGGAGGCGGACTGCGATGAGGAGGAGGGGGCGGAGTCCGATGGCTGAGGATCCCCCGAGGACCCTTCCCAGTCGAAGGACAAGGGGGCTGGGAGGCTTCAGAGGGACCCTCCCAACTGGCCAGGCAGGAAGGGCTCTGCCGTGCCAGGGCCTCTTTTAGGGCACCCCCTTGGAGGAGGGTGGGCGGGCGGAGGGGTCCTTTGGAAAGGCTGACCCAGCAGGCCAGAAGGAGCCCTTCCCCCTGCTCTCCCCCCCAAGCCAAGAGCCGGGTGCTTCTGGCCTTGGGCAGCCATAAGGAACCCAGACGGAAGCCAAAGGGCGAGAGATGCTGGGCGGCTTCCCAGAACTTTCCCATGTCGGATGCCGGAAGCGGCAGCATCTTCGCTCTCACAAGGCTGTTTGGGAGAGTGCCCTGAAACGTGGCTTTCCCAGGCTGCGTCTTTCTAGGCAGCTGTTGAGTGCCACAGTGCCACAAGCCAAGGGGGACGCTCTTTGCCTCCCCGGCCCCCCAGCCACAGCTACGGGAGGGGCTTGTGGGGAAATCTCCCACAGGGCTCGGTGGGGACAAGGGGAAGGACGCCAGAGGACCAAAGAAGGGGGCCAAGCCAGCTGCTGCTCTCCTGGTCTGAAGGCACGAAGAAGCGGGCCCCTCTACTCACGCTTGGATGAGGCTGGCGAGATCGTGGGGGGCGGTGCTGGCTCCCGGGGCGGCCATGGGGCTCTGGCTGCTGGAGATCATCCCAGACATCCTGCAAAAGGGAGATCTGTGACCCTGCGCCATGGGGGCCAGTCGAACAATCCCACTGCCGAGGGGGAAATCCTTTCCCTGTGCACAGGGAAGCCTCTGGAAAGGCTACTGGGGGCTGGGGGGGGGGGGGAGGAGCCAGTTTTTCCCCAGGAATCCCCCATCCCCCAACCAGAACCCCCAATTTGGATTGCTCCAATCGACCTCACCCAGGAAAGGTTCCCTCTCCCACCCCACGGATAGCAGGGGCGGAGTCTCTGCAGTGACTGGCTTCTGGCCGCTCCATTTTGGGGGGTGGTCCCACAGCACCCCTTCAGTAAGCAGCCATTTTAACGCTAACTCGATTTTGGCTGGCCTGCCAGGAGACCAAGATTGGCAAAGGGGAGGGCAGGACACACTAAACCAAGCTTTGATTCCTGGCTTTGAGCTGCCTTCCGACGAGGGGAAAGGAGCCTTTTTAAAGAAACGTTTCCCTAGAGAAAGCCTTCCCTTCAAAGGCGGGTATCAGCCGGGATCCTTCCCCCCCCCCCCCCCCCCCCCCCCCCCCCCCCGGCTCCCAGACTTTGGGGCTGACGGTTCAACCGCAGTCCTTGAACCGCCCCTCCCCCAGAATGGATCCTTCCAGAAGGACCGGGAGGCGGACAAGCCCTGTGCCACTCACAGTTGCTGCACCTGAGGGTTGTTCATCAGGTTGGAGGCCTGTCGAGGGAGAGAAGGGAGGGAGATGGCTGAGCATCCCGGACTGCCCCACAATCCTCTGCCAAGGCCAAACCCTGGAGCTTTTATCTGCAGGAAGCAGCTCTTGGAGTCCACGGAAGGACTGGTCGACTGATGCCCGTAGCCCCCAAACTGTGCCCCACACCGAGGACCGCCCCTTCTCTTTGGGCGCACGCAGGCAGCTTCCCTGGCCTTTGGTCTGCGCTGGGCTCTCCGGCTGGCGCACCCGCCTCAGCCAGCTGTCCATCCAGAGACCAGCCAGTGCACGCAACAGCCCCCCTCCCCCTGGCTCCCACACTCACCATGCTCATGAAGCCAGGGTTGTTCAGCAACCCAGCCAGGTCAATCCCTCCGGCGCTGCCCGTCTGTGGAGAAACGGACAGGGGACATCAGGGCGGCCCCCTGCAAGCCCGGAAAAGAGGCTGCTGGGTGCCCTGGCCTCCTTGGGCCCCCAACTCCCCCAGGGCCTTCGTCTGGTCGGCCGGCCACTCACCGGGCTCGGAGCCTCCTTCATCTTCTGCTCAGTGACTTTCAAGTTGGACTTGTAGGTGTCGTTGTCTGGGTCCAGCTCCAATGCCTTCCGGTAGTAGTAGACGGCCTCCGAGAGCTTGTTGAGGCTGGACAGGGCCAACCTGCGGAGGGAAAGGGGGGGTGAGGAAGGAGGCACAGCCCCCCCCCCCCCCCCCGGCCCCCCTGCTGGCAAGAGCTCACCAAGCTCCCAGAGGGGAGGGGCCATGGGGCCCTCCCAAATGTTGCACTGCTGCCTTTGCACAGGGATTCCTGCCACTCCATGGAAAGACCCACTGAGACCCCAACGGTGCCCCTTCCCGGAAGCCAGAAACGCTTTGCGGGGGGAGAGGAGCAGGAAGGGCTCCCCACAGCCTCTGATGGAGGAGGGGGGGGAGGCTCTCTTGCGAGGGGGTGCCCCGGGGGGGAGGTTTTTCTTCCTCCTGTTTTGAAGCCTCAGGTTCCCCCCCCCCCCCCCCCCCCCGGGATTGACAGCCCTTCCCCTGCCAGGCCCGAGGGCAGCGCTGGGACCCACGTACCCCATCCTGCCATAGGCTTTGCTGTACTTGGGGTCGATGCTGATGGCTCTCTCGCAGTCTCTGACGGCCCCGGCGTAGTTTCCTAGTTTACTGTAAGCAGCAGCCCTGAGGGGGGAGGGAGCTCCTTAGGGCAGCCCCAGGGCCTCTGCCGCTTCAGCACCCACAAGGGAGGGTGGGCTTGGCACTCCCCCTGCCCCCCGCCCAATGTGAGGCAGCCGTTCCCATCCAGCTGCTGGAGCTAGCACAACCGGACGCCTGAGGCAGAATCCCCCTCTCACCGGTTGCAGTAATACACAGCATTGGACGGGTTCAGTTCGATGGCTTTTCCATAGAACGAGACGGCACTCTTAAAATTCTCCACTTTCATCTGCTCGTTTCCTAGTAAGAAGAAACAAGGGATGAGCTGCCTTATTGGGCCAGAGGGCGACCCTGCCCCCCCCACCCACCCCCAGACCCTTCAGCGTTGCCTGGTGGTCGCTCTGGGGACCCCGTGCCCAGGTCTCTCCTGGAAGGCCTCCCCCCTTCGCCTCCCACACGTGCCAGGACTGCCAGCCAGTCGGCTTCCTTTCTCCAAAGGCCCTTTTCCATTTGCAACCTTGCTTGCCCTGGGGCTGGGCAGTTGGAGGGGGGGGAAAGCAGGAAAGCCCCCCCATATCTCAGGGGGCAGAGGGCGCTAGTAAGATGCTCAGCCCCCATCAGGGGTTGTGGCTCCTCTTCTGCTAGTCAATTGGAGGCCCATGGAGGCTGCCCCTCCCCCCCCCTTAATGGGAGGCTGACTGGGGCAGGATACAGTCTGCGGTCCTGGGAGGGAAGGGGGGGGCTGCACTCCAGAGGGCAAAGAGAAGCTTAAGATAGTCTGGCCCAGGAGGAAGGGAGCCAAGAAGCCAGCCCCCGCCCCGCCCCCCCACCCCCCAGCAAGTCTTTGGTGATGCAAAGAGTGGCTGGAGTTTGGCAAGGTTTCTGCCTTCAGGGTGTCTTTCTTGTTCTTGACAACCACATCCCCCCAGGATCCCCCACCTGATGCTCCCCAGAGGGAGGCCCCTGCTGCCTGCGCAACCCTCCTGAGTGCCAAGGACACAAATGCAGGATGACAAATGCCCCCCCCCCTCACCTTCAGTTTTCAGTCTTTCAGCTTCAGCTGCGTCTTCTTCAGAAGGAGGAGCAGGCTCAGCAACGGGGCAGCTCTGCAGCGGCTCCTGCTGGGCAGAAGGCACCCGGGGTTGGGGGCGGGGGAGTGTCAGGGACCCTCTGGCAAGCACGGGGCTTGCAGTGTCAAAGCGGCTCTCCTACAATCTCTGGCCAGAAGGACCTGCGACGGCCTCCCCTGGGAGTCACCTCTGCCGCTACTTCCTCTCCGAAGGTCCTCTTCAATGGCAACGCTGGCTGGGCATTATGGGAACTGCTGCCTACCGCCCCGGGGGGGGGGGGGACCGAGTTAGGAAAGGGTGGGCCTACCCCAGCAGCTGATGGCTGCCCAGCCCCGCCAGAGGTCCCAGTTCTGCATGCCCACTTCCTGCTTGGGGTGATGGGAGCTGAGGGTCTCGGCTGCCTTTCTAGAAAGGGCCCTGGAGGGCAACGCAAAGGGCAACCCGGCCCATCTCCAGCCAGAGATCATGAAAGGCCGATACCAGGAGGGTTCCCCACGGAATGCAGGCACACCCAGCAATCACAGGTCTCCAGTCAAGAAGGCTGCCTGTGCTCTTCCAGGCCTGAAGAGTTGTGCCCCTTCTCTTTTTCCGATATAGGTACCATAGGATCCCAGGGGGGGGGGGGGGGGGGGGTGTATGTGTGTTCCTGCTCTACAATTGCATTAATCGTGCATTAAGGCCCCAAGATGGATGTGGAGTGTGCAGAGAAGAAAACTGGTCTTTAGCTCCTGGGCCTATTAGAAACAGACCCTCAGGGACAGCCTTTGCTTGGGAATTGCAAATAAACTGTTTTGGGCAAGCTGAGAGGCATAAGAGGGCAATAGGGGATCGGAGTACCCTATGTTGACCAATCAACAGCTTAAGAGTTTTAAATAATCCTAAAAGTGCTTCTTTTACAACGCCTTCAGTTCAGACCCCTTCAGACCCCATTTGACCGCAGCAGATTCTGCAAAAGGGCCACAGGTCAACTTCCATTGGCCACAAGTGTCAAAAGTTGGGGGCAGACAACTGAGGCTCCGGCCAGGCCAGGGGTGGATGTCACGCATCTGGTTGGTTTCTTAGAACAGAGCCAGCAAGTAAAACTACAAAAACCCCAAACTTGGAAGTAAAAGCTGGGTGCGTTTCCTTCTGCTCACAGACCTGACCTGGAAAGGCTGCTTAATTTTTGGATGGGACGCTCCCTCCCACCCCACCCCCATCCCCAGCTGATCCCTTATTTGCATCCAGCAAAGATCGATGAAGACCCTCCCATGGGATGGTGCTGGTGGCTATTTTAATACTCCTTTTTGGTTTTCCTCTTGAATTTAAAAAAAGGAAGCACAGCCCACGCACCCCGCTTCAGCCCTGCCGATGCCTTTCCATGAAGCCCCCTCCCCACAAGGAAGGACCCTGCCCTCCCCCCGCCCCCCCCCCCCCCGGCCCCCCCCCCCCCCCCCCCCCCCCCCCCCCCCCCGGCCCCCCCTTCCCTGCTCAGCCCACGGCAGCGGGGACCCCCCCGCCGCCGCCGCCGCCGCCGGAAACGCTCACTTTGGCCGCAGCAGCTTCAAAGATGTCCGGGAGCTTCTGGGAGATGGCCAGGCCCCTGTCGTCCACGGACACCCCGAAGGCCGTCTCCAAGCACTGGATGGCCACTGCGGAGGGAAGAGGCCCCGTCAGGCCAGGCGGACCTGCCTTCCGGCTCCCCGGGGGAGGGGAGCCCCCTCGGAAGACGCGGCAGGCAGGCCGGCCGGCCTGGGGGAAGCCGGGAGGGTCGCTGGGGGGGAGGAGCGCCCCCACCGCCCACCTTCCAGGCTCTCCTGGGCGTCCGGGGAGAGCCCGCCGTGCTGCAGCTGCTCCTGCAGGAACTCGATGATGGCGAAGGCCAGGCGCTTCTGCTCCGCCATGTTGGCCCCGGGGGCCCTGGGGGAGTCGGCGGTGGCGGAGATCCTTCCTGCGGGAGGGAGGGGGGGGGACACGGGAGGGTCTTGCTGGGGTCGCGCGGCACGACGCCCGGGGGAACCACCCGGAAGGGCCCGCCCACTCCGCTGCCCAGGAGAAGCACCGCCAAGCCCGCCTCCCTTCTCCGTCCGGCCCGGCGCGGCTCACCCCGGCGGCCGCCCCAGCGCAACAGCGGGCGTGCTCGGCCCTTGTCCGCCCTCCGGCCGACTGCGCAGGCGCGAGCGGGGCAGGTCGGGGCTGGGCGACGCGCCTGCGCGCCGGGCAAAGTTCCGCCAGTCGCCGGCCTCCAGGTCGCCTTCTCCCTTCGTCAGAGCTAGGAAAGGGTAGAGGGGCAGCCGCTGCTTGACGGCGCTCGCTTCCGAGTCCCGCGTGCAGGGAGCGTGATGCGCTCGTCCCTCGCAAGTGCGCTTCGCTCGGGGAGGCCGGACCCGCCCCACGCACGCACGCGGGGAGGGGGCGGGGCTGCCGGTGGCCTGGGCGGCGCCCGCGGGCGTGGAGCCTCTGCCCTCCGAGTGCCGATCCCACGGAACACCCCGCCACTGGGCCGGGGGCGGGGCGGAGGAGAGCTCCACCCTCCGGGGGGGCGGTCGGGTCTCTCCGGCTCCGCGAGAGCGAGCACGCGGCATGGCTCCCCCGACGGGTAACTGCGGGCCGGGGCCCCCGCCCCCTCCCTCCCTCCCTCCCTCCCTCCGTGGGGCGGGGGTCCTTCCCTGCCGGGCGGGGCGGGGGGTCTGACGGCGCCCGCTTTGTCCCCCGCCCAGGAAGCGCCCCTGCGAGCCCGACGCCCCGGGGCAGCCGCCAGCGATGGGACCTGGGCGCCGAGCAGATCCGCAGCGCCGCCGCCCAGCTGGTGGGCCGCACCCGGCAGGTGTACGACGCCGTGGGCGCCCTCGAGCGCCGGGAGGTCTCCGAGCAGAACACGCTGCGCGCCCTGGCCGCCGCCGAGCTCGACTACACAGGTGGGCGGCGGGGGGGGGGCGGGGGGGGGGCGGGGGGGCGCGGACAGGTAAGCCGGGCAGGGCGGATCCCCCGACCCAGCCTGAGCGCAGCCCCGCCCTGCAGTGCAGCGGAATATGCTGGATTTCCCGCAACACGTCTCCCCCAGCCGGGAGGTGCGCTCGGCCAGCACCGAGGCTGACAAGCAGCTCTCGGAGTTCGACGTGGAGACCAGCATGCGGCAGGACGTCTACCAGCGCATCACCTGGCTGCAGGTGAGTTACCCGGCTCTGCAGGTTCTGGGCCCTGCCTGGCCCTCCCTGGCCCCAGGCAGAACCCGGGAGGAGCCCAGTCCTGCCCTGCCCAACCCGGACGGGGTGGTTCATGTGGCCGCCAGGCTGAGTCAAGAGCCCTTGGCTGTAGCCGCCTCTGTGGGAGCCTCCAAGGGCACCCCTGCTCCGAACTCCATGCCAAGCGCCCCCCTCCCCGCCTCATCTCTGGGCCTGGTGGCTGCTTCTCTCAGCTGCTTCCTACTCAGCCCTTCTCCCGCCCAGCAGCCATTGCGCCCCAGCCACCTTGGCCCAGAGATTGGCCACCACTCGAAGGAGCCCCTGGGGGGCCCTGGGCGGGTGGGGCCGCCTGCTCTGCCAGAGACCCCTTTCTCTTCCCCAGGAGAAGCTGGACGGGGCTTCCCTGAAGCCGGAAGCCAAGCGCTACTTGGAGAGGCTGGTCAAGCTGGGACAACGGAGCGGCCTTCACCTGGCCCGGGAGGTGCAGGAGGTGAGGAGGCTGCTCTCTGCAAGCGACTGGGCCAAGGGTCCCTCCCGGGCCAGGACAAGGGACAGGACGATCCCTGGCAGGGAGGCTGCCCAGGCGGCCTTTAAGGAAGGCTGGCTGCTTTGGAGCCTTGGGGGGGAGCCTTTGAGGGAGAGCTGGACCTCTTCTGGGGGGCTGGGCAGCTCACATAGTTTCTTCCCTTCCTCAGAAAATCAAGGAGATTAAGAAGAAACTGAGCTTTCTCTGCATCGACTTCAGCAAAAATCTCAACGAAGACGCCACTTTCCTGGCTTTTACCAGGGAGGAGCTGGGTGAGGCTGCGGGGGAGGGGGGGATGCGGCCATTGTGGGGAGGGACCACTGGGGTGCCATGTCTTCCCCTCAAGAAGGCTGGGAGCCACGTTGCGGCCTTATCAGGGATCAGAATTGGTCCAAGGAAGGTTTCTCGCAGGCATAGTGCATCTGTCGGTGAAGCCAACGGTGTCAATTAAACACCTTGTGAACTTCGGCTATCTAGCACTGATGACCTTATCTAGTTTGGTAATGAAACATCTGGAAGAAAAAGAGCCAAGCTCGAAGGGCACCCTGGGCCTCTCGGGTGAATTCTGGGCTGCAAAGTTTTTTCTTCTTCTGTCAAAACTTCGATAGTCCTCTCCTGATCCTCTGCTTTCCTTCTCTCTTGGGGAGGTTGGACCCGCTTCCTGGGATCTCTTCTTCCTGTCCTCTCCACACACACCCTGCCCCCCCCCCGCCACTGAGGGTTCTCCCAGCTCAAGCAGCCAAGGGTGGGCGTCCTCTGTGCCAGGTTGGCCCTGGAAGAGCCCACCGCTGATGTCTTGGGCGGGGGGAGGAGGTTGCCTGGCATCTCCTGGCAGCCTTCTTCCCCTCTGCCCGGGAGCCCCTCCTGGGACGCTTAGAGCCATAGAGCTGGGCGGCCCTTCCGGGGCCTCCTCCTCTGTCCGCTCCTTCCCCACTGGGTGCGCTGGAGTGGGCTCCCCCTGACCCGGCTGTAACAGGCACCTGCCTCTCCCCTCCGAGTGCCGGCCCCACGGGACCCAAAGTCACAGAGGAAAACCAGCTTGCCAGGGCCCGTCTCTCCGGTGCCTCCAGGGGGGCAGGCGGGCGCTCTTGGCCTGGCCTGGAGGCCCCGCACGGGGCTCGGCCCACCTAACGGCCCCTTCCCTTCAGGCGGACTCCCCGAGGATTTCCTGAGCTCCCTGGAGAAGGCGGAGGAGGAGGGGGGGAAGCTGAAAGTCACTCTCAAGTACCCCCATTACTTCCCCCTGATGAAGAAGTGCCACGTGCCGGAGACCCGGAAGCTCATGGAGGAACGCTTCAATTCCCGGTGCAAAGAGGTGGGGAGAGGGGGCGGGAGCTGCACTGGGGGGGTGGGGGTGGGGGGCAGAAGGCTCCCCCGGAGGCTGAACTTGCTCCCCCCGCCCCCAAACGGCACAGGAGAACTGCCGGATCCTCCAGCAATTGGTAGAGCTGCGGGCCCAGAAGTCGGCGCTCCTGGGCTTCGAGACCCACGCGGCCTTTGTGCTGGAGATGAACATGGCCAAGGAGTGCAAGACGGTGGCCGCCTTCCTGGGTGAGATGAGCGGGGAGCATCTTCTGGCTGCTCAGGGACGGGGGACCCCAGGGGTGCCTTGAGCCCCTCCCTCAGAGCAGCCCCAGGAGGCCGTGGGAGGCTATATTTGGGAGGGGGTGGCGGGGGCTCCCCTCGTGTGCCAGCTCCTCCCTGGGGGGGGCAAGCCTGGGCACTGGTGGGCAGGCGTTCACCTCCGCTCCCCTCCTGGGCTCCCTGCAGACGATCTGGCGGCCAAGCTGAAGCCGCTGGGCGAGAAGGAGCGAGCGGTTATCCTGGGCCTGAAGCAGAGGGAGTGCGAGCAGCGGGCGCTGCCCTTCGACGGGTGCATCAACGCCTGGGACATGCGCTACTACATGAACCAGGTGGAAGAGACCCAGTACAGCGTGGACCAGAACCTGCTGAAGGAGTTCTTCCCCATGCAAGTGGTGACGGACGGCCTGCTGGGCATCTACCAGGAGCTGCTGGGGCTGACTTTCCGCCGGGAGGAGGACGCCCAGGCCTGGCATGAGGACGTCCAGCTCTATACTGTGCAGGACCCGGCCTCCGGAGAGACCCTCGGCCAGTTCTACCTGGACCTTTACCCGCGGTGAGCCTGTGGACGGGGCGGGCAGTGGGGCCTCCGTTGCCCCTGTGGCCGAGTCCGTCCTCCTCTTCCTCCATCCACCTTGCCCAGCAGAGCCGGGCCTCCTTTGCCCGAGGCCTCCGCAGGAGGAGGAGGAGGAGGAGGAGGGTCCTGGGTGCCTCCAGGGGGAGCCCCGGGTTGGTTCTTCTCCAAGGATCCTTTGGTCTCCTTGGCCGTCCCTGGGATTCTGGGGGCCTCGTTGCCCAGCCCCCCCCCCGTGTCCAGAGGCCCCCTCCCTCCCCTTCAAGTCCCGCCTTCACCTGCACGGAGGGCGGGGGGGACCCCACGGCTCCCCCAGTTCCGGTCTTTGCAGGGCGGGAGGCGTCTCCAAGGCCTCCGCGGCTGTTTCGTCCTCCGGTTCCTCCGCTTCCGTTCGTCCATCCGGGTGACCCCCAAGAGGCAGGAACTCTGCTCCCTTTGGGTCGCTTCCCTCCGAATCCCCCCCCCGGGGCTGCCTGTTCCGCTCTCCGCTCGGGGGCCTCCCTTCTGGCAGACCCGGGGCCTTTCCAGCTACGGGAGCCCCGAGAGCCCCGGGCAGGTTGCAGGGGCTCCTTCCTCCGGTTGCCCCGCCCTGCTTGCCTTCCCCCAGCCCGGCTTCCTTGCCGTCTCTTCCGCCCCGGGGTGGAATCAATACAGCGAGGGGATGTCCCCTTGCCTCCCCCCTCCCCCCACCCCGTGCCTGGAGCATCTCCGCCTTCTGGCCGCCTTGAGGCTTCCTGGCCTGCGCTTTGGTTTCTCCCCTGGACAAGGCGGCCTCCTGGCCCTGCCGCTTCCCTGACGACATTCTGCGGCTTCCTGTGATCAACGCCAAGGCCTCTCTTCAACCCCGTTGATGGTTGATCGGGGCTTCTCTCTGGCTTTCCCTGGCTGCTTCGGCTACCCAGCAGGCATTGGCACCAACGCCCCCCCCCCCCCCCCCCCCGGCCTTTCCCAAGGCCAGCACCTCCCCCCACCCCCGTGTCAGACTCTGATCTGGGCTGCCTGTGTGTGTGTGTGTGTGTGTGTGTGTTGGAGTGTAGATTGATCTCTCACAAAAGGTCGGCCACTGTGTTGCTCTCCAGATGGCCTGGCCTCGAGACTTGGCTGGTCCTCCTTCTGTGGCTGGAGCCCCCACCACTTCCTGTAGCCCAGGGACTTGGTGTGGGCTCACAAAGGATCGGGCCCCCAGGGAGGAAGGAGTCCTGGGCAGATCCGCTCCCTGCCTCCTCGCCTGTAAGCCTCACCGGTTCTTCCCTAGAGGCAGAGGTAGCGCAAGCATGAAAACATCAAAATAAGCAGATACCAAATTTATGTGCGGTTTTTATGGTGCTCCTGGAAAAAATGTTTCCAGGAAGTTTATAGGAAACAACAGAAGAATACTTATTATTCAAGGCTTCTGTTTATTTTCAGAAATGACCATCCCCTGCTTTTTGTGGGGATTAGCATACTATTCCTGTGTTTCCCAAAAACAGAATAACACTCAAGTTGGAAGGGGCCTCGGAGG